GAGATAAATCGACTTTTCTGCGTGCGAGGTGTAGCGGCATAAACTTTTGCACCTTACTGTACTATGGCCTTATTTTGAATATTCTGAAAAATCGGTACTTTGTTTATAGTACCTATTTTCCCCCGTTCCTGAACAATTTTTAAACAATTATTCCCGAACCGAACGGAGGCTTATCTTGATATCTACAATTCAAAAATTAAAATCTTTTTATTATCTACACTCTGTTAACTAATTATACGCACCCCCTATTTTTTGGGTTTTTCAAACTTAAATTGGAATGTGGATTTCTAGTTTTCTGTGTTTTAAATCTACAAGCTAAAAGCCATCTATTATCATCAAAATTTTAAATTTAAGAATTTCCCTTTCAGACTTATGGATTTTAGTTAACACTAATTATTGAAAAAGATGTCCATAAGTCTGGAAGGGAAATTCTTAAATTTAAAATTTTGATGATAATAGATGGCTTTTAGCTTGTAGATTTAAAACACAGAAAACTAGAAATCCACATTCCAATTTAAGTTTGAAAAACCCAAAAAATAGGGGGTGCGTATAATTAGTTAACAGAGTGTATATAAGAAACACCAAAATTTTCTTTTTAGATTAAATCTCATTTTTAATTATTTCACTCATTTCCCCAATGTCATAATAATCCCTTTTTAGCTTTAATTATCTAACAACCATTATATTTAGCCTTTGAATGGCAGCCCTAATTTTGTTTGCCTCTCCTTTAATTTTTTCTCTATTTTTTCTTTCAAGCCTTTTCCTTATTTCTTTCTTCCACTTAAAGTTGGTAATTGGTTTCCTCCAAATTTTGGAGATTTTTAGACTACTTTTCTTCCATTGCGCGACAAAATTTGTTTTTATTTTGACTATTCCGTTAAGAATTTTATTTTTTTAATCATTTTAAAAAATAATTTCGTTTTTAATTTACATAAATTTTAAAAATTTTCTTATAAATTTCTTCACTTCCTTTAAAATTTATTTAAATTTTGGAATATTTTGGTCAAAGTTAAATACTAAGAAAATAATTTCTATTTCAGTTCAAAAGCTCTTTTATTGGCCTACCAATCTTTTATTGGCCTACCAATCTTTTATTGGCCTACCAATTTTCAGAAATACTAGGATAAAAAATTATCTAGGGGAAGATACCGTAAATGTCTGAAAATTACTCTGAGTATTAAAGTTTCTATCTTCCGCTGGAGGGAAGATCGGATCCTCCACACTAGTCGGATATTCATTCGATCTCATTCGTTTTTCGCTTACCACAGAGCTAAAATCAGAGCTATTTTAAGTCTTGATTTTCGAGATTTTTTATTTTTATTCTTGTTATTATTTATCCACTCAACATTAACCTATATTTTTATATTTTTTAAATCGTTTTCGGCACTTTAACAACACATTGCTTACTCAAAATAATTTTTTCTTTTATAAAAAAATTTTTTTCAAAAAGATATCTCAACTCTACGGTCAAACATTTATCCCATGGGAAGCCTAAAAAGTGTAAAAATATAAATGTTTGTTGGAAGGGTGGCCAAAATCGCCTTTCAATCTTTCCTTTGTTTTTAAATGACCATTTTGGGTACTAAAAATAAAACAAAAAATATTAACTTTTAAAGAAAGAAAGGTTGTTTTTGGGTGAATTTTTGCCTTAACATTTTAACTTTTTTTAAACTTTTATTTTCAAAAGAAAATTTTTTTGGCTAAAATTTTTTTATTTAAAAGAATTGTTTTTAATCTCTTGAGTCTATTATTTTCAAAAAATATTTTCAAGATAAGAAAAGTTTTTTTACGTATTAGTGCTTTTTTTAATATACTAGTGAGTCTTGTTTTTTCTTGACTTTCTCTTTATGTGGTGAATATTATATCATAATCATATCTTATAATAAAGTTATCTCATAATGTATCTTAGGTAAGGGAATTGCTTTTTCGGCGGCCCAATCCAGGGCAAATAAACATTTTAAAAATTAGTTTTAAACCAAGTTACTCTGTATATTCTCGATAATTATCATCCCTTAAATTCCTTTGACACGTTCAAACCTCAAATTATTAAGCTATCAATAATTATTATCCCAATCCCCTCCAGCGAGAAGTTGAATCAATTATTACGCAGGGAGTTATTTGAGCATATGTATCTGTATCTCATTAAATGTATCCTTTATTGAGGTCTATCAGTTTTTTTAGCTTTTATTATAAAATCTCATAAAATTGACTTTAAAAACTAAACCATATAAATTTGAATAGCTTTATTTTTTGTTTCAAATAAAACTTTATTAAATTCTCTTTTTTAAGATATATCCCCGTTTTAACACATTCTTTAGGGTTTTTTTATTTTTTCTTTATTCAATCCACACACTCAACCCTATATAGGTGAGAATTATGTATTTCTCACTTTCTCGCATTTTTGCGCTCTCATGTAAACAAATTTTTTTTCAATAACAACAAAAATTGCCAAGGAGGAAGTTTGCCAAAGAAGTGAGAAAAGAAGGTATATATTCTATCAATAAATATATACAATCTAGTAGAAAAAAATGCCGAAAATCTACGCCGAAATATTCTGAGCTAAGGGGGATTAAAGCATGTTAAACATTTTTTTATTTTTTGTTTTATGCGTTAATGAAGCGGCGCAAGTTTAACTTTTGAATTTATCCCAAATTTAAGTCAAAAGATTATTTTCTTTCAATTTTCATATCCTTCTCAATCATTCCTCTAATCTTTGGCAGACTCCTTAAAAATAAATAAATCTAGAGAGACTAGAGATGGCTAGATTAAAATACTACCATCTCTCCGGTCGAGAAGAGAGATGGTAGAGACTAGAGACCGGATATAGATCTAGCCAATAGAGACATGGCTAGTGACAGGATCGAGATGATATCCCGAACAAAAAATCTCGATTATCGAGATTCAAGATTTCGAAAAATCTTGTCTTGTCCAAACATGTGACGAAATTTCGATTTTCGCTTTTGAATTCTAAGATTTTTTAAACTTTATCTTCATATTTTCGATTATCAAGGATTATTGAATTTAAAACAGCTCTGGTTGTCTCTAATTTTTATTATATCACTTTATGGTTCGCGCATTAAATTTAAAATATGTAAAATTTATAGCCATTTTTTCATAAAACCAAACAGATATTTATAAGTAATACTGTCCTCATTAATTAATGAACACATGCAGAGGATTAACTATGTTTTTTATGTCCCTTACGTAAATTAGCATTATAATGACTAAATTTTTTTAAATTTATTGTCTCATCATTAAAAATAAAAAAATTTTTTAAACATATTTTTATAAATATAATTAAGTGATGGGACAGATTGAGAATAAAGCCTGGTCATGTTTTTAAATTTTCTTTTAATCGGATTTAGCGATGAAAAATGTTTGGGGTTCAGGCCGAACATTATCCGTCCTATATCTGATACCAAATATCCCTTTCTCACACTAGTAGTTACCCCCCCCCCCCCCCCATTTGTTGCACAGGTGTGCAACAAATGGGAGGCGGAATTTTGAAACATCAAAGGGAAACCCAAGGGTGTAGGGGTTTTCCCGGACCCATCCTCATTAATTTGCGGCATAATCAAAAGGTTTGGGTCATTAATTAGACAGGTGACAGGTTTTGATTGATGGGTACAAGTGTTTGATTGATGATGACAAGTGACAGGATTTGATTGATTGGGACAAGGTACCACCAAAACGTTGCACGTTGTGCAACATTTTGGTGGGTACCAAAACGTTGCACGTTGTGCAACATTTTGGTGGATGAAGTCGGGATCAAAGGAAACCAAAGGGTGTGGGGTACTTTCAGGTTCCCGGTGTGTCAGATTTGATTGACACGTACAAGTACAAGGTACTTGTACCTTGTACTTGTACAAGGTACAAGTGTTTGATTGATGGGTGACAGGTGATTAAGTTGATTGATACCTGTACAAGGTTTCAATCCCAGACTGAAAGTCTGGGGCTGAAACCTGGAATTTCAGTCTGGGACTGAAAAAATGTTGGGGGCAGGGGTCCGGGGTACGGTAGAATTAAAAATAATAAAAATTAAAAAATATATTAAATAAAAAATAAAAATTACTGGGAGAAATAAAATTTACAAAATTTTATAAAAAAATTAAAATGATTTGGAAAAAAGGGCGGAAGTCAGAATGTAAGGGGGAGTTACCAATTATTTCGAAACATACAAGATCTTATCTAATTGACTGATGATTAATGAGTCTGGGGCTGAGATATTTGAGTCTGAGATTTTCAATCTGGGACTGAAATTTTTGAGTCTGGGAATTTCAGTCTGGGACTGAAATATATGGGTTTGGGAATTTTAGTCTGTGACTGAAAATTTGCTGGGGCAGGGGTCCGGGGTACGGTAAAATTAAAAATAATTAAAATTAGAAATATTAATTAAATAAAAATAATAGGGAGAAATAAAATTTAAAAATTTTGCAAAAAAATAAAAATGATTTGCAAAAAAGGGCGGAAGTCAGAATGTAAGGGGGTTCAACCAATTATTTCGAAACATCTCAAGATCTTATCTAATAGATGATTAATGAGTTTTTGAGGCTCAAATTTTGTAGCCGACAGAGTTTGGATAATTTATAAATGACCTTGAAGGTTACGAAATAAGGAAAAGCTAACTTATTAAAAAATTACCCTTTATCTCAAGATCTTATCTAACTGTCTGATGATTAATGAGTTTTTGGGCAGACAAATTTTGAGCGGGAAAATTTTTTAATAAAATGACCTTCAATTTTATGAAATAAGGTAAAGTAAGTTATTAAAAAATTTTTTCCTTTTATCTCAAGATCTTATCTGACAGATTGATGATTAATGAGTTTTAGAGGGAACAAATTTTACCAGTTCCACATCACGTGACCTTGACAAAAAATATTTCGTAATCGCCCATCCGCCTGAAACGAGGAGTATAAAAGGCGAGGTTTTTTGTCATTCTTAACCATTTGTCTCAAAACAAAAACAAAACGCTCTCTTCAATTAAAAATTAAAAATCAAAAATGGCTTTTAATAACGGACAAACCGCACCTGCCAATAAGCGCGCTAGATTCCTTATCCGCGATATCCTCCCACATTTATTCACTGACGTACAAACCGGTGCGGGTGCAAATACCCTGAAAAATTATTACCGTCAAATTGATTATAATACTGATTACAGCAGCAAATTTAAAATGATGAAAACAACTGGAAAATTTATAATAGAAAAAATACCTGAGAATCCGGAGGAATTGCTTCGAGAAATAATACAACAATGCATGGATAAAACAATTGAAGAAGCAAAAAATAAATCAATAGAACCTGAATGTCTGGGGGCATTAATTTCCTCACAGCTATTAGACAGCGACATATGGATTCCTATAAGAAAAATTGAAAATGATACGATCGACAACATACTTAATCGTTTCCAGCTTGTTTCCCAATCCAAGATAGAAAAAGGCTCTCTTATTGGCCAGCCTTTCACAATAGCAATTCAAACACTTGGAATCTCCTCTCTTCCAAGAACAAAATCAATTAGAGGACGCGCACCGCAAGCAACAACAAGTAATTTAGAAAATAGCTCCTGTCTAATAAAAATCGATAACCCCAACAACTTATGCCTCTTCTATGCACTGGAAATAACAAGAAAATATTTTACCAAAGAACTGGGTGCGCGCTGGAATTTTACAAGATACATGCAAAATAAAAAGAGGCAAATGGAAGATGTTTTTGAACTTTTGAATACAGCAAGAATTCCCCAAAACCTTCTTGAATATGATGCTGTGGAATTTGTTCCAGCTGTTGTAGATTTTTGGAACAACAAATATAATGATTCTGGGTTCAAGTTCAAGGTATTTATATTTGGAAACGACAGTGAAAAGCCAAAATTTACTTATGGAAATGAAAATTTCAACATGCCTATTACAATTCTGCACACAAACAATCATTTTGACGGAATCAAGAATGTTGGAGGAATGTTTGGATTGAGGGTAAAATATTGTTTTACATGTGAAAAGAAGTTTAGGAAATCAAAGGAACATGATTTGAGATGTAAATCTCTCTGCAGATTTTGTGGGCGCATTGGCAGTGACCGACCTTGTGTTGCAACGGGAGACTTTTTCAAAAAATGTGATGAATGTGGGAAAAAATATTTAAATGAAGACTGCTTCAACCACCACAAAAAAAGCAGCAATTGCCGCCAAACAAAGCAGTGTGAGAAATGTGGAGTCATCTGGTCAATGAAAAATTACAAAAGGGAAGGTGAAAAGAAGCATGTTTGTGGGCAAAAGTGGTGTCAAATTTGTCGGCAATTTCACAGTATGGATAGAGGGTGCTTTATTCGACCACTGGAACTGAAAAAACCAGCACATTACCGTCTAGTAACATTTGACTTTGAAGCAACACAAAATGAAAAGATAAACGAAATTACCAAAGAAGAAAGACGGCTTCACATGGTAAACTTCATCGCCGCAACAGTAACCTGCACAAAATGTATGGAAGATGAGCAATTATGGCGTGCGCCTCTCAAACAAAATGGGAAAAACTGCACAATTTGCGGAAATAATCGATCAATCACATTTTCCCACCGGCCATTTACTCAAACAACAGTCGATCAGCAAATCGTCACACCAAACCCTCTAAAAGAATTTATTGATTGGATTCTATTTAAACTTAATCCTCAATATACAACTATGGCTTTTTCACACAATGGAGGGCGCTATGATATGATTATGGTCTTCAAAGAAATTTATTCAAAAGGAGTTGTTCCATCAATGATTCGTCGCGGTAATAAACTTTACGAGCTGAAAATTCCCCGCAACAATAAATGCAATGAAGTAATATTTCGAGATTCTTTTAATCTCTGCCCAGTTGCCTTGGGGAAGCTGGTTGGCGCCTTTGGACTACAAATTACAGAAAAACAATTTTTCCCACATTTGGCAAATATTCCTGAAAATTACAATAAAATATTACCACAACTGCCTTCAAAATCTGATTACCTTTATGGAGGAATGTCACCTGAAAAACAAAATGAATTTGACAAATGGTATGAAGAAGAAAAAAATAAACAATTTTACCTGGATGAAGCCTTGGCCGAATATTGCACAAACGATGTTCAAATACTCACAGAAGCACTTATTGCATTCAGGAAAAAATTCACAGAGATCAGCAAGCCAAAAAATGACAAGTCTGGGCCAGCAGCAGAAGGAATTGATATTTTGAAGGATGCAATGACAATAGCATCGGCCTGCATGAAACATTTTCGCCTGAATCATCTTCAACCTGACCATTTGGCAATTGTTCCGGAGAAAGGATATGAAAACATTGATAATCAAAGTGAGCTTGCCCTGAAATATCTACAATGGTACGAAGAAACAAAAGGAGTGGAAATTCAAAGTGCACATTCGGAAGGTGGGGAATTTGTAGTGGCGGGAAAATATAAAGTTGATGGGTACATTGCGGCTGAAGATAGGGCAATTGAAGTGAATGGTTGTGTCTGGCACGGGTGCCAAAAATGCTTTGGAGATGATTTGCGAAAAATATTGCCGAATGGAAAAACCGTAGGAGAAACACGTGAAGATGATGGAAAGAGATTGGAAATAATTAAAAAACATATAAAGAATGTTGATATAATATGGGAATGTGAAATTCACCAGATGCTTCGCCGCAATCAGAAAATGAGGTTTCAACAGTTACATCGATTGAATTGGAAGAAGCATTAAAAGTTGGTTACACAGTTACAAGATTTTACAGAGCTCTACATTATGAGAAATGGGATGAAAATTTATTCAAAAATTATGTGGCCGAGTTTATGGCAATGAAAATTCATGCTAGCGGGTTCCCTGAAGGAATAGAAGGAGAAGAATGTGAGGATGTTTTCATAAAAGAATGCAAAGAAAAATTTGGTATTGAACTTCAAAAAGAAAAAATGGTTCCAGACAAGGCAATGCGTTACATTTCAAAACTAATGTTAAACTCTCTGTGGGGAAGATTCAGTCTGAGGAATACCTTGTCAAAAACTGTGATTACAGATGCACCAGATGAACTTCGAGAATATTATTACAACAAATCAATTGAATTACAATCTGTAGATAAATTAACCGAAGAGACAGTAATAATAACCTACAAACCAAAAGATGAATTCATAATTGAACATGACACTTCAAATATTGTGATTTCCCTATGGACAACGTCAGCAGCAAGAATAAGACTATTGAAAGCAATGCAAAAGGTTACCGGGAAACTTGACTGCAATCTGCTCTATGGGGACACTGACAGTATATTATTTTCTTACCCAAAGAACATGGAATGTCCTCTCAAAACCGGCCCCCACCTAGGTGATTTGGCAAGGGAATATGCAGGATCTGAAATAAAAGAATATGTTGGAGGGGCATGCAAGGCTTATGCACTGAGAATGGAAAACAACAAAAACGCAAAAATCAGCACTGTTCTAAAAGTACGCGGCATCACTTTAACAGCAGATGTCTGTAAAATCCTCCACTTTGACACTTTCAAAGAGAGCGTACTTACCTATGCAAATGGGGGAAACGAAAATGAGGAAGATGATGATGAGGGAACAATTATGATCGAGAATCCAAACTTTATATGCCGCAGTGTGAAGGATGGTATGGTTTATTCAACTAAAATGAGAAAAATTTTCAGACCAATCATACAAAAAGGGATAATTTCAAACCTCAAAATTGTAAATTTCGGACAAAAATAATTTCATTTTTCACCTTATATTTTCCACCGTATTTTATTATTTTTGTCCTTTAATTTATTCACAAACATTTTAATTGTACCTTAATATTTTCACATTGTTTTTGTAAATTGTATATAAATTTGTTGATAAATTATTATATTATTAAAATGTTTAATTACTTTTAGGGTTTAAGAAAAAGTTAAGGATTATAAGATAAGATTGATACAAAGTTAAGGATTATAAGATGCAATTGTTGCAAAGTTAAGAGATAGAAGGCAAAATTAATGCAAAGTTAAGCAATGCAAGATGCAGGTTTTGGGGGTAATCATGTAAAGTTAAGCGATAGAAGATACAATTGAATAAAAGTTAAGGATGTGAAGAAACAATTGAATAAAAGTTAAGGTTTAAAAGATAAAAATGGTACAAAGTTAAGAGAAAAACGCATATTTTCAGTAAAATGTTAAAGAATATCTACACTTTCCACGCTTTCCCTCTTATTGGCGGGTGTAATGGAGTGCTACTCACTGGGTGGATGACACAGTTACAGTATACAGCTTTGTGATGTATACAGTACACCCTATTGGAAAGTTTACGTGCTATGTCTTTAAATGAAAAATGATATTTCACCGAAAAATATTTTATTATAACAAATTACCAGTTTACTTAGAATACAAGCAATTCATAATTTAATAAAATACATTATTCAAAATGTTAATGTTTTCAATTATATTAATAACTATTCCGTCCTTAGTGGCAGATAGGATTGACAACAAACCATGGAAGGGAGAAGAATTAGTGACTACATTATACCGGAGGACACCATTACCAATATGGCGGAGAACACCGCCACCAATATTTCCTAACAGAGATAAAAATAATTCAGTGGAAATACCGATATGGCGGAGAACGCCGCCACCACTATTTCCTAACAGAGGAAAAAATACAACAGTGGAAATACCAATATGGAGGAGGACACCACCACCAATGTTTCCAATCAGTGATAAAAATAGTTCAGTGGAAATACCAATATGGCGGAGAACACCACCACCAATAATACCTAGCAGAGATATAAATGACTCAGAAAAGATTCAACAAGGCGATAAAATAGGCAATAAATCTTTGAACAAAACAGATCTAGGGGAAAAGGTATTTAGGAAATGGGTTGTAAAGGACATCTATCATCTGAACAAAACAGACTTGGCAAGAAAACGTGAAATAAAAAATATGGGGCGTTGGATTCTACGTTGGGATCTTTGGGACGAGAAGTTCAAATCTGGAAAACATAATCGAACAGATTACTTGATGTATTCAAGATGGCGATTTTTATACGAACCTCCTATTTCAAACATTATCGATTTTTTCAAAAATTTATAAAATTATTTTTTAATGTTTAACATTTTTATGTAAAATTATTTAATAAACAAGTACTAAAAATAAAATTTTCGTATAAATTAATCACAAAATATCAAAACATTGCGTTTTTCCCATTGGTTCGGTTTACCTTCTATTTCAATCCACAATATCCCTGGTCTAGATTTTTTCTTAATAGGTGTAGGTGGAAAACTTCCAAGGGATAATGGAATACTGTTGAGAGTAAGTGTTGATGATGACGAAGTTGCTTGTGTACGTCGAGCCCCAAATTCTGAACTACTTATAGGTGACGGAGGCGAGGTGGGGGCAAAGCATAAAAGTTCTAGAGGGTAGTATCTCTCACATATTCCATTCTTTGTGCATGTTCTTTCTATAACACATTGATGAAACGGATATTGGAGTTTTATCTTGTGGTGAGCAAAGAAATATGCCGCAACCGATATGTTGAATGGGTAAGCTAAGTCACCGAAGGCTTTGACAAAATGTGCTCCTGAAGTTGTAATTCCGTCACATCTAACTCTGCTATATAATCCTCTCCTATCAGAATAATTTGTCTCTAACTTTCCTTTCTCATTTATAAATTTTGCGATCAAATCGGCATTTTCCTGATACATTAATCTGTATCTCACCAAATAAATTGGGCAATTCAATTTTTTAGAAATCTCATCCAAAATAGAGGTCATTTTATTGATTAATTTAGAATGATTGATGAATGACTTGATAAATTGTTAAGTTGAACGAAAATTTCGCCTTTTATACCCAAAGATTTGACCTTGAAAACTGACAGATATTTCGAAATATTAGGAAAGGGCGGAGCTTAGGAGGAGTATATAAGGCGAAGGATTTTCAACTTTTCATTCATTTCTTCATTCATTAAAAATACTATTTTAAATTAATAAAAATGAGCGGATTAAAAAAAGAAAAGATCCCAAAAATGGAATTAGTTAATGAGCCAAAAATTGAGCAGGAAGTAGAGATAATTAAATTGGAAGAGGAAAAAGAAAAAGAAAAGGCAAACAAGCCAAAAGCCTCTGCTTCAAAAGTTGAGAATGGGAAAATTGAGAAAAGTAACAGTATAAATCCGCGTATTCTATGGAAACTTGTGCGCATAAGAGAAACACCTAGGATTGAAATTAAACTTTGCAAAAAATGTGCCAATGCGCTTTACAATGATAAAAATAAATTCACTCAGAAGGAAAATGGAAACATCGGAATCTGCTTTGAAATATGCGAAACCTGCGCGAAGCTAAATATGCAGCTCAAGGATATTGTTGCTGACTGGGATGAAAAGAATATACAGAAATTGAAAAAGTGATTAATGATTAATGTTTTCTGTCAACTTTGTTATTTATTTTTGATTTCATTAAATGTAACATTTTAATTCTAAATAAATATTTTTGAATTGTATTATTTTTCATTAACTTAGGAAAAAATTAATCACACATTCTCGAAGGCCACGCCCATTTTCAGAGTATAAATACTGAAAAATTCTCCCCAAGATCGAACTTCCGCCAAAAATTTGAATTCATTTATAAAATTTCTTGAAAAATGTCAGTAATCGAAAATAATTGCCAGCTCTTGGAAAAAGTACTCCCTGAGGTGTTATTTACGGTATCTTCTACTAGTGTGACAATTTCGTCACCACGCCTCATAACCACACGTTTTGTGGAGTTTGACATGGCAGGAAAATGTAAAAGTTGCAGGGGAGAAAATGTGGACATAGATTTTATTGTTACTCCAAAGGACGTAACCTTATATTGCAACCGCCTAAAATCAGAAAAAGTGGTAATGTTCGATCATATTTATGAAATTCCTCAACAATGTGTTTTCCGTGTACGGTCAAAAGGGAAGAATTTCAATATTTTACACAAAGAGCAAGTCTGGAATGAAAAACAGTTTATCACCGGTAATGAGCAAATGAGTGTCAAGGAATTTTTGTCAAAGTTTACACAGAAGAAGGCTCAAGTAGAGAACGAAGAAACGAAAGAAAATATAAAGGAAGACGATAAAGAAAAAATAATAAACGATAATTCAATTACCCCTCTTAATCATTAATCATTCTTATTTATATTTTTAATTTTCAACAAATAATTTAAACATGAATTATCATTTATTTTCTAATAAAGATTTAAAACTAAAACTTCCATTTGGTTGTATTATTAGCGGTCCAAGTTCAACTGGCAAAAGTACACTTGTACGAAAATTAATTTCAAATTCTGATAAACTTATTGAGCCTATTCCAAAATCTATACTTTACTGCTATGGTGAATATAACCCACTTGTTCCAGAACTACAGCGAGCCGGAGTCTCAGTTTACTTCGGAGTTCCCCCTGAGGATCTTATTAAGAAACAACAACAACCCTCTCTAGTCATCCTCGATGACCTAATGTACTCAATTGACGAAAAATATTTATCGGAACTTTTCACAAAGAAATCTCATCATCTTAATTTTGGCATAATATTCATCACACAGAATCTCTTCGAGAAAAAACTCAGGGTCGCACGTCAAAATTCTATGTATATTGTATTAACCCGCGCACCAAATAGTGCATTGGCCGTTCGAAATCTAGGAGTACAACTATTCCCAGGAAGATTAAATTATTTTCTAGACGCATATCGACAAGCTACAAGCAGCAGTAATTATTCATACCTATTTATCGATTTACACCCCTCATCAGACCCAACACTTAGACTAAGAACAAACATATTTACAGACAAAGAATCAGAAGACTCCTACAACTCATTACCAATTATATTTTTACCCAAGAATTCCTCTAATTAAAAATAATGTCAACGAAAATTAGCCAACTTGTCAAGGACAACCTACAGTTTCTCAAACAGCTGGCAAAAACGCGCTCATTAACTAAAAGAAGACGGTTTTTAAGAAAAGCATCAATCGACCAATTACTTTCTCTCACTGAAATTTGCTACAATATTGTACGTGATCAATTTAAATTAACTAAGAGACAAAAATCTCGTCTTCTACCATTCGCTGATTTTGTTCGTCGTGTGAGCAGATTAAAAACGGAAAGAGGAGCCCGACGTACAGTAATACAACAAGGAACTGGTTTACCAATTGGATTGTTCCCTGCCCTTTTAACTCCAATCATTATCGAATTAACAAAAACTTTAACAAGCAATTAATAAAAATGGCAAATAAATTTATATTGGTTCCTGAGGATATATATCGTGGACTACTTACTCACCCCATACCGGAAACTGGAAATATCAACTTGGATTTTACACGAGAAAATTTGGAAAATATCAAAAGTCAAAATGCCAACACAGAATTGAAGAATATAAATTATAATCAGGAATTGAGACGTTATCTACATATGTTGAAGGATCAGAATGAGAGACCAATGAATGTTTCAGTAAGGCAAATGGAAGATCCAGCCCTGGAGCAAATTAAAAAATTGCTTCCCCTACTCCAGGCAAGCTCCAATGAAAGTAATCAACAAGTACTTAAACAAAATATTCCCACATCAAAATTTCCAAAACTAGAAGAGCCTGTCGATTTAAATGAAAATGAACTTAGTATGCATACGGCCGATGAGGAATCTCCGGATTCCAGAGAGAAAACTGAACCAAAAAAGACAGCAATAAAAGAAAAAACAAAAGAAATATTTGAAAGTATGAAGCAAGAGAATCTTGATAAATATGATGTGAGCACAGATGGAAAGATTCTAAATAAGAAAGGAGGAAAAGAAATACATGGAAGCAATGCACAGAAATCCATAGAGTGCATACTCCGAACAGGAATCAGTGGGAAATTGAGATGGGGGGAATTGACACCTCCAGGAACATCAGTTTTAGAAAATTAGTTAAAGAGTGATAATAAGATTTGGCCATTGATAGAGAAGGCAAGAGAGAGTTGTACTCCAAAAAGAACATATACAAAGCAAAAAAGGAAATTTGTTGAACCGAAAGAAATAGCTGAATCAAAATGGAGACTTCCAACAGAGTGGAAATGATATTAGATAAACTTTACAATGATCCAGCGAATCCGGCAGGATTTGCTGGTGTAAACCAGTTATGGATAGAGGCTAGAAAAAAAGATGGGAGTATTAAAAAGAAGGATGTGCAGGAATATTTGGAAGGCCATAGAACCTACACAATTCACCGCCCTAGGCGCGTGCACTTTAAAAGATCAATAACAAGCCCATCTGGCTATATGACAGACGTTCAGTGCGACTTGGCAGATTTCCAGAAATTATCACGGCAAAACAACGGGAAAAATTATGCGCTTGTGGCAATCGATGTGTTAAGCAAAAGAGTTTTCGCTGAACCTGTTCGCACTAAAAAGTCAAATGATATGATTGATGCATTTGAAAAAATTTTGGCAAGAATGGAAATGCACCCACACCGTATTTTTAGTGATAAGGGAACTGAATTTTGCAGCAAGGAAATTATTGCATTTTTCAGAGAAAAAGATATTGAAAAATACACGGCAACCTTTTCATCAGTTAAAGCGTCACTAGCTGAACGATGTATTCGAAACATTAAACAGAGACTGTACAGATTTATGAGTGAGAAGCATACATTAAAATGGACTGAGGCATTACCGAAAATAGTTGACGCAATAAATCATTCAAAGTGTAGGGTTTTAGGTGGATTAAGACCGGTTGATGTAAACTTTAACAATGCAAAGGAAATTAGAGAAATGGTATTTGGTCCTATTGGGAAGAATAAACCTAGAAGAAACCCACGATTTAAGGAAAATGATCATGTACGTATGAGCAGAAACAAAAATATTTTTTCAAAGGGTTATCTCCCAAATTATAGCGATGAAATTCTTCAAATAGACCTTGTCAAAAAGAAGGCTAACCCCAACAGATACCGTATCCGTGACGATAATGGGGAAGTATTTAAAGGATATTTCTACCCTGAGGAATTAACCCGAGTGAGGAAGGATGAGAATACCAGCTACAGAATTGAGAAGGTTATTAAGAGCAGAAAGAAAAAAGATGGAGGAAAAGAATTTTTTGTTAAATTTTTTGATTACCCCCAACCCCAATGGATAGACGAAAATCAATTTGTATAAAAGCCCAATTTTTCATTCCCATAAATCATTTTTAATTATTTTTTCACTTTAATTGTTCAATTTATTATTATCTTTAAAATAAATAATGGCTAATACATTCTTTGTTGTTCTTCCTAGTAATGTTAGTGATTACCCAGATAATAAACCCAATAAATATCGAGTGCATCTTCCGAAACCAATAGAGTTTCAAGGTGGAAACTGGGTATGTGGGCTCTACAGTATCCAATACCCACAATCATGGGCTGCAACTATTGGCACCGACGTTAAACAATGGATCGAAATTAATTACAAAAATAAGAAACCGCATAGAATTGGAATCCCCAAAACAACACAGCTAACACCCAACGGACTCAGCTTCTTTTTAAAACTTGTATTATCCAATAAAGAGAAACCTAGGAAAAGACGCGATGTATCAATCGATGCTTTGGAGGATGAAGTTATCATTGACCCAGAAATTAATTTAGTAGTGGAGCCAGCTAAGAAACGAAGAAAGAGAGAGGCAGATAAAGTAGATACTGTGCCATTATGGGTAAAGGAATTTTTTAATCAGTATCCACACAATTACTGGGAAGCCATACGCGATTATGAACAAGAATTAGAACAACATAAATCTGATGTAGAGGAAAAAACAAAACAAGTTCTTAATGAGAAGGATGATACACATAAGGGAGAATTACAGCAAGAACTTGATCACCTACATTCCCTTTCAGAAGGTAAAAAGAAGGAAATTCGTCTCTTAACAGAGGAAGCTAATAAGAAGGATAGGCGTGATGATGGACTAATAGCAAACCAGTTTTTGGAACAACACCCAGATGATTATCACGAGGAAGTAATAAAGATGGAAATAAATATAATAGTAAGATACATTGAACTAGAAGACAAAATTAGAGAAAGCAGGGAAGAGGGTGTTAAGAATGCTCGTTCTGGTGATGAGATTCAGAGGTTTATTAATTCAATAAAACGTATGCGTAAGAATTTGGAAGCATTGGAATCTGCTATTATTGAAAGAGACTTGCAAATTACTAGAGATGAATTTCATCAGCAAAATTCAAATACACACTCAGAATTTGTCCAGAAATTTTTCGAGGACCACCCTGTAGATCATTGGACAGCGTTAAAGAAAAATTTAGGTGATCTACAGGAATTACATAGACAAATTCGAGAAAAACGAGATGCCCATTCACAAGAACAAAATGAGGAAGAAAAGAATAAACTGGGGAAGGAGGTTGACAATTTAAGTAAATTGGCTTCCTACAGAAGAAATAGATTTACAGCAATACACCATGCTGCCTACAAGAAATGGAAAAATTTTGAGCTGCCAATTCCCCCAACTAGAAATGAAATTAAGGAGATGCAAAAAATTGAAGAGAGAACTCATCCGGAATATTTGGAAGATGCAGTAAAGACAGATGATCAAGGTAAACCGGTGCCCATTCCTGCGCCCGTAATTACAGATGAAATGGTTGAAGTTGTCAAGGACAGACATGACTATGAGCAGGACAAGGCCAGAGAGTCAGCGGAAAATGAAAGAAAAGATAAAGAGTTGAAAGAAACCAAGGAGCAATTAAAGCATGCAAGAAGAATAGATAAGTATGGAGAACCTATACCCCTTGAGCAGCCAATAGATGAAGAGGAAGATACAGTAGATGAGGAAGGTTTCGAAGAAGAAGAAAAAAGATGGGAGGAGAAAAGTAGGGGAACCCCAGTATTAGACTTGGATTCTTCAGAAGAAATTATACCAACAGATGAGATATTTGAGGAGCAAAAGGATGAGCAAAGAAACGGTGATCTGATAAATGAGAAGACAGTTACTTTGATTGAGGAAAAGGAGTCTCAAGCAAAAGATTTATATTCTGACATTGAATTTGAATATTTGGACAGTATTGATCGTTTTCGGGTAATTTTTAATGATCCTGAGATTCGAAATATTGTTATCTCTTCACAACTATGCTATGTTCTCGGTTTCCCCATGGGACCATTGGTAAATGGACAAATTGGAAAATATGGAATTGATCTCAAAGGAGGGTTTACAAGCTTCGCTGTATATTCAAAGGGGTTAACTAACACTGTAATAATGGGTAATTCTGTCAGTTCATTACTCAGAATTGTGGCCGTTGAGAATAGGTCTGGAGGTGTTGTAGAAAGAGTGTATGATCAACCAATGTTCATACCTGTGTTACCCAGAGAAATTAACGAGATTGAAATTGAACTAAGATGGATGAACGGAAGTCTTGTTAAATTTGATCATGGAACTGTAATTATTACCCTAATGTTTAACAGAATGTTAAGATTTTAATTTAAAACTTTTTTGAAATTGTCAAATTTTATTATATATTTTTTATCATTTTGATAATAAAGGAAAATACAAATTCGTCTGGGTTTGAATGTTTAAATAATAGGGAAAGGAATTTTTTATAAGAGTATCCAGATGAAATAAAATAAATAAAGGTGATACAATGTTGTCCACAAGTAGGTAAAAGAGGGTTTTGAACGGGAACATTATTCATTAAACGGTTTGGAAATTTGGAAATAAAATTTTTTATTGAAATTGGAGGCTCGGGGAGTAGTAATGAATCAAAAATTAATATTTTCTCGGGGTTAATTATAAAAAATGCAATCCAATGTGATCCTCTTTGAGTAGCTTTTTCAAGGTTGACGACCAATGAGCACGGGTATTCTCGAAATTTTTGTGGAATTTTATCTGCGGCAAAGCATCCTATAAAATATCTTCTAGTTGTTCTGTTGTGTAATAAGATTTTGTCGATTTGTAAAGTGTCCATTTTCGTCAAAGAGGTGGAGGTTTGAATCTTTTCTTTGAATCTCTCCAAGTTCAATGTCTTTGCTGTTGCCTTTAACCTTTATAAATTTTCTCAGTTGATAGGTCAATGCTGTTGCTAGCAATAAAAGCCAGAGTGCAATTAATGTATAACAGTAAATAGTCTGAGCAATTGATGTCTCTGATGAAGGAAATTCCTTGCAAGGAGAGGGAAATTGAACATTCTCCACGTGTTCCATTGACCAAAAATCCAAAATTGTAATATTTTTCTCAGGGTTAAAGTTAGATGCTAGTCCAATACTATTTTGTACTCTTTGTGGGATTATTGGGGATTTTGTCGAAGACGAATTAATCATTTGTTCTGGTTTAGGAAGTATTGTATTAGCGTAATAGCCTATACGTTCTCTTAATTTTTCTCTATATTCTGGATGTTCATCCTCATTAGACATAGAATATTGTTGTGTAAATTTATACAGGAAGAAAAATAAAATGAAACAAACAAAGCAAAATTCAATTTTTATAGTAATGTGACACATTTTTAAAATGAAATAGGAGAATGAAAAAATAAGGAAAATTGAGGGTATTTATACTGAAATATCTGTAGAAATAGTTCTGTTCCTATCTAACATAAGCAGCGAATCGATTTCGCCCATGGCTACTAGTACAATCCCACCACTAGGAACAGGTTCGTTGAAGGTCATCCGTATACTTGTTGTACCATTCTTTATTAAATCAAACATCTCTGGGCCGTTATCTTCCTGGCTATTTGTGAGGTTAAATACGAAGAAACAATATCCTGCATATGCATAACGAAACATTGATATACCGTTACTTTCTAGCGATCCCGCGTACCCTATTGCTTCTTGCATGTCATGATAAATTCTGGCATAGTTTCCTTTCGGAAAATCAAGGGAATAAGGGGCTGCTGGAAAAGTTACTCCCCCAGCAGTAATGGAAATATCTCTCAAATTAAAATGTTGGAAATAAAATGGAGTTGTTTTTTGTCGTCCTACAAAATCTTTATTATCAACCATTCCAAGTATAATTCTTCGAGGCACCTGATCCATCCATAGGTTAGCATTAAATTCAGTTCTATTTTCACTGATGAATAAAGATTTCAGAGATGTTTTTCTTATCGGGTATCTCGCGGGCTTTATTTCAAGTTTTTTTGCAATATCAAAGGCTAGACTGTCCATCAACTCAATCTTCTTTACATATAATTTGCAAGCCAAAATTTCTAGATGATATTTTGGAGCAGTGTCCCAGGGAGCACTAAGCAGGAAACTTGATTCATTGGGTAGTAGTTCAATATCAACTTCACACTGGTTTACTAAATATCTAGGTTGATTACAAATATCAACATCCAATTTGGCCATAAATTGTGCAGTACGCGGATTTCCATCTTCGTCTAAGAATAATCTTTTCCTTGATTTAACTCCATATCCATTAGAATCAACACCTGGGTATGTTTGTGTGGCTCCATCATCATAATACCCCGCCACAGAAAGATAAGAGTTCTTCACACTTTGTGGGTAGGTTAGTTCGTAGTCAAAAATACTTTTGTATGCCATGAGGGAGTTCCCTTCAAAAACCTGAGTTCCATTAATATGCATACGGCAATTTTTCCAAAGTGTATGACCTATAAGTTGCACTGCCGATACATTATCATCCCTTCCTATATCAACAAGTTTCCCATCCTTGTCTTCTTTTTTAATCCTAAGTTCAGTGAAAACATAAGTTTTGGCCAGATCAATATAATTTGTAGTCGCATGAATTTTGAAATGAAAGGGGGTGATATTTACAGGGTTGAGTGTGAGTAATTCAATAAATGAGGAGTTGCTAATACTGACATTTGTGTGGGGAGTTTCGAAAAATGATAAAGCGTTTGTTATTGCGTTGCCAGAATCGCGATCAATTTTCTGATGAGTAGACATTTTTATTTAATAAAGACCGAATGTGTCTATTTTTTGACGCTTCTTTTTTGGGGTAAGAGATGGAGGTCTGCCAATAATGAGTTGATGACTATTTTCTTTTGAAAATGATGAATGGGGTTTACGTTTTCTTTTGAGTCCTTTTATACTAGCTCTGGCTCGCAATCCGGTTCCAAATTGTTTTGGCAATCCTCCTTTCTCGAGTAATCTGTCCAACCCCCGTTTTCCTTCACTTATTACTGTCTGCTTAAAATTTGGGTTAGAATCTTCTTTGCCATATTCTGGATTCCCCACACTTTCTAAAATTCTCCCACCAGTATCCAATGCTTCCTTTGCTACAGCTGTACCCGCGCGTTTTGCATACGGTAGGAGGAAACGCCAAAAATTTCTGAGTACATCTCCGACTCCACCACCCGCTTGTCTCCCGTATCCACGTTGATAAGGATTTAGTCCGCGAAAATAGTAATAGTTTTCATCTGCGCCTTGTCCTACTTGACTGATAGATATATGATGGTCGTCGTAACCGATTGTCCTTGGGTCAAAGGCTATATGAACCATGTTTGGTTTTGTTTGGAATGTTATGTAATATTAAGTTAAGTGATCTATTGTAGTTATCTTAAGTGATAATTGTAGGATAGTGTTAGGGATAAGTGAAAGTTATATAAATTAATTGAAGGTGTTTAAATTTTATATTATTTTAAATGAAGAGATAAATTTAATATAGAATGTGAAGGTGATCTTTTGAACATTGACATTTTGGGTGTTGTCGAATTGAGAGTTGACATTCTGTGAGCTGGCATTTTGTCCTTGTGGCATTTTGTCCTTGTGGCATTTTGTCGTTTTGAGATTTCGAAATAATTGGTCTTCCTCTTACATTCTTACTTCCGCCCTTTTTTGCAAATCATTTTAATATTTTTTTAAAATTTTGTAAAAATTTATCTCTCCCTATTTTTATTTTTTAATTAATTTATTTTTATTTTTATTATTTTTAAAAGATAAGTATGGAGATAAGTAAGTATGGAGATAATTATTTTTAAAAGATAAGTATGGAGATAAGTATGGAGAACCTATACCCCTTGAGCAGCCAATAGATGAAGAGGAAGATACAGTAGATGAGGAAGGTTTCGAAGAAGAAGAAAAAAGATGGGAGGAGAAAAGTAGGGGAACCCCAGTATTAGACTTGGATTCTTCAGAAGAAATTATACCAACAGATGAGATATTTGAGGAGCAAAAGGATGAGCAAAGAAACGGTGATCTGATAAATGAGAAGACAGTTACTTTGATTGAGGAAAAGGAGTCTCAAGCAAAAGATTTATATTCTGACATTGAATTTGAATATTTGGACAGTATTGATCGTTTTCGGGTAATTTTTAATGATCCTGAGATTCGAAATATTGTTATCTCTTCACAACTATGCTATGTTCTCGGTTTCCCCATGGGACCATTGGTAAATGGACAAATTGGAAAATATGGAATTGATCTCAAAGGAGGGTTTACAAGCTTCGCTGTATATTCAAAGGGGTTAACTAACACTGTAATAATGGGTAATTCTGTCAGTTCATTACTCAGAATTGTGGCCGTTGAGAATAGGTCTGGAGGTGTTGTAGAAAGAGTGTATGATCAACCAATGTTCATACCTGTGTTACCCAGAGAAATTAACGAGATTGAAATTGAACTAAGATGGATGAACGGAAGTCTTGTTAAATTTGATCATGGAACTGTAATTATTACCCTAATGTTTAACAGAATGTTAAGATTTTAATTTAAAACTTTTTTGAAATTGTCAAATTTTATTATATATTTTTTATCATTTTGATAATAAAGGAAAATACAAATTCGTCTGGGTTTGAATGTTTAAATAATAGGGAAAGGAATTTTTTATAAGAGTATCCAGATGAAATAAAATAAATAAAGGTGATACAATGTTGTCCACAAGTAGGTAAAAGAGGGTTTTGAACGGGAACATTATTCATTAAACGGTTTGGAAATTTGGAAATAAAATTTTTTATTGAAATTGGAGGCTCGGGGAGTAGTAATGAATCAAAAATTAATATTTTCTCGGGGTTAATTATAAAAAATGCAATCCAATGTGATCCTCTTTGAGTAGCTTTTTCAAGGTTGACGACCAATGAGCACGGGTATTCTCGAAA